ATATTGTATTATCCCGGAAAGGCCAATGTGGTGGCCGATGCTTTGAGTAGGAAGTTAGTTAGTATGGGCAGCCTTGTGTACATTCCAGCCGGTGAGAGACTGCTTGCATTAGATATTCAGGCCTAGGCCAATTAGTTCGTGAGGTTGGATATTTCTGAGCCCAGTCATGTTCTAGCTTGTACAGTCGCTCGGTCTTCTTTGTTTGAGCGGATCAGATATAGGTAGTATGACGACCCTCATTTTCTTGTGCTTAGGGACACGGTGCGGCACGGTGGTTCCAAGTAGGTTATTGTTGGAGATGATGGAGTTTTGAGGATGTAGGGTCGTGTTTGTGTGCCTAATGTGGATGGACTTTGTGAGTTGATTCTTGAGAAGGCCCACAGTTCCCAGTATTCTATTCATCCGGGTGTCGCTAAGATGTATCAGGACTTGTAGCAACATTATTGGTGGAGGAGAATAAAGAAAGATATAGTTGTATATGTGTCTCGGTGTCTAAATTGTCAGCAGGTAAAGTGTGAGCATTAGAGACCCGGTGGTTTGCTTCAGAAGTTAGAGATTCCTAAGTGGAAATGGGAGCATATCACTATGGATTTTCTTGTTAGACTCCCACGGACTCAGAAGAAGTTCGATGTAGTTTGGGTCATTATGGATAGGCTGACCAAGTCAACATTTCATTCATGTGGCAGTTACCTATTCTTCAAAGCAGTTGGCAGAGATTTATATCTTCGAGATCGTTCGTCTTCACGGTGTGCCCGTGTCTATCATTTCTGATCGAGGTACGCAGTTCACCTCACATTTCTAGAAGGTAGTGCAGCATGAGTTAGGCACGCGGGTTGAGCTAAGCACAACATTTCATCCTCAGACGGACAGGCAGTCCGAGGGAACTATTCAGATATTAGAGGATATGCTCAGCGCTTGTGTTATAGACTTCAGAGGTTCGTGGGATTAATTCTTACCGCTAGCGGAGTTTGCCTATAATAACAGTTATCAGTCGAGCATTCAGATGGCTCCCTATAAGGCATTATATGGTAGACGATGCCAATCACCAATTGGATGGTTTGAGGGAGGCTCGGTTGGGTACAGAGTTAGTACAGGATGCCTTGGATAAGGTCAAGATTATTCAGGATCGACTTCGTACAGCTTAGTCCAAGCAGAAGAGTTATGCCGACCGTAGAGTTCGTGATGTTGCATTCATGATCGGAGGCAGAGTATTGCTCCGAGTATAGCCCATAAAGGGTGTAATGAGGTTTGGAAATAAGGGCAAGTTGAGCCCTAGGTACATCGGGCCTGTTAGGATTCTTGAGCAAGTGGGAGAGGTGGCCTACAGACTTGCGTTGCCACCTGGTTTATCAGTAGTCCATCCGGTGTTCCATGTGTCCATGCTCCGGAAGTATCACGATGATCCATCCCACGTGTTAAACTTCAGCACTGTCCAGCTGGACAAGGATTTGACCTACGAGGAGGAGCCAGTAGCTATTCTAGACCGGCAAGTTTGTTAGTTGAGATCGAAGAGTTATCTTTCAGTTCGAGTGCAGTGGGGAGGTCAGCCTATTGAGGCAGCTACCACTACTGAAAAATTGGTCTATGGTAATGCATGGAAAACCGTTCTAGTAGGTAGATAAACCGTTGCCATAGCAATATTGGAACAGTTTCCGGACCGTCCCATCCGCCTGCGTGCCAAGAGTTATAGGAATGGTTCGTGAAACGGTTTCCATCTCTGTTGCTATAGACATGTCTATCACAACGGTTGTCCCTTTCTCTATTGGAACGATTACTCCTTCCAATTGGAACGGTTTAAAACCGTTACTATAATGTGTATGCAACGGCTCATAACCATTACCATATTATCTAATGCAACACTTATGTAAGCTATTGTGTCACGACCCCAACCCCCGGTCGTGATGGCGCCCAACACACTGCTAGGCAAGCCTGACCAATAAACAACCTTAACCCATTCCTCATGCAGTTCATTACTAGCCATCATAGTTAGTTTACCAAATCATCATATTAGAAGTCTGAAGTAAGAGTTAAACATGCAGAATTTCAAATAATAATCCTACTACATAGCCCATATAGATCCGGTGTCACAAGTCTGAGCCTCTAATACAGGTTTATCAACCTAATACATGTCCATCTAGGGAATACTAATTAAAAACAAGGATAAAAGGGAGAGATCAGGGCTGCGGACGCAATGCAGCTACCTAGATGCTCCCGGATATGCGCTGCTCAACTGAAATAATCCTCACTCAGCCTCAAATGCACCAGGATCTGCACGCAAGGTGCAGGGAGTAATGTGAGTACTCCGACCCAGTGAGTAATAAACATAAATAATGGCTGAGAATAAGAAATCATAGAAAAACACAGGGTAATCTATAATTAGGCAATTTAAGACAAGTAGAATGAAAGCGATAAACCAATGAAATCGAAATATGAAAGATACTACAACAGATGGGCAGATAAGTGACAGTCAAATAAGGAAATGCAACACATAAAACGGTACTCTCTAGTACCCACTGCGGCGTGCAGCCCGATCCATTTATTTATCATCGACGGCGCTCACTGGGGATGTGCAGACTCCGGGAGGGGCCCCTTATGGCCCAAGCACAATAACAAGCCATCTCGTGGCATCAACTAGGCCCTCGGCCTCAATATCGATATAATACTGTTGCGGCGCGCAGCACGATCCCATACTCAGTCCAGAAATCACATAAGCCCCTCGGGAAATAATAAAATAGTAGTCCTCAGCCCAAAACGTCATTAGAAATATTATTTAAGTTTCAAATCTGAGTAAAAGTGGTTGAGTTTGTAAAACAGTGTTAAACAATAGGACTGAGATCAAGTAATATGTCAAATAGTGAAGAAATAGTGATAACAATCCCCGAAGGGTCCAAATAGTTGGCACAAAGCTCAAATATGGCAATCAGTCCAAATAATGATAATAACAATTATGCTTCAATCAAATACGCGGTAAAAGCATCACTCGGGACGGACCAAGTCACAATCCCAATAGTAAACGACCCCACACTCACCATCAAGCGTGTGTCTCACCTCAATATAGCACTACGATGTGCAAATCCAGGGTTTCAAACCCTCAGGACATCATTTACATTCATTACTCACCTCGAACCGGCTAAAGCTCTAGCTCGCTATGCCCTTGCCTCTCAAATCGGCCTACTCGCGCGTCGAATCTGACCGAAACCAGAACGAATATGTCACAATAGGCTAAGGGAACAATACCCAAGCGAAAACAATCGAAAAATATCAAAAATCCCGAAATTAGCAAAACCCGAGCCCTGGCCCACTTCTCGTAACTCAGAAATATTCACATCATTAGATTCCTTATCACCCCACGAGTTCATACATACCAAAAGTTCTGAATTCCGACCTCAAATCCCAATTCAAAAGTTCAAAATCCCAAGCCCTAGTTCTTCCAATTTTAGCTTAAATTCCATGAATTCCTAGGTTAATTTCACAATAGAATCACATTTTTGGTTCATAAAACTTACATCCAATCAATTCTCCTTGAATCCCTCTTCAATCTCCCTCAAAGAACTCTCAAAATGATCAACTATGGTGGAAAAATGGCTCAAAATCGCGGAGGAAATGTCTTATAAACATTCTGCCCAGTTCTGATATTCCTTCTTCGCGAACGCGGTCAACGTCTCGCGTTCGCGAAGCACAAACTTACGTTGACCAATTTTTTCTCTACACGAACGCGTCACACCAATCGCGAACGCGATGCTTCTGCCTCCTACACCTTCGCAAACGCGACAACCTTACGCGAACGCGATGAACAAAATGCTTGGACCCCAATTTGCTCTACGCGATCGCGAGTGCCTTCTCGCGAACGCGATGCACTGCTTCCCATCCTTTCGCAAACGCGAGGCGCCTCTCGCGAACGCGAAGGCTTAATTATTGTCTTCCTCAAATCCTTCTACGCGAACGCGACATACCCCTCACGAACGGGAAGGGTTATTTTCTGCAACACCTGAACTCCCAAAATCTTCAACTTTTCAACTTAGAAAATGGTCCGATTGACCACCTGAAACTCACCCGAGGCCCCCGGGACCTCAACCAAGAGCACCAACATATCCTAAAACCTCATTCAAACTTGTTCCAATCATCAAACACCTCAAACAACACCAAAACCATCAATTCTCATCGAATTCAAGCCTACGTTTCTAAAAACTTCCGAAATACGCTTTTGATCAAAAACCCAACCAAACCACGTCCAAGTGACCTGAAATTTTGCACACACATCCCAAATCACATAACGAAGCTACAGAAACTCTCGGAATTTCATTCCGACCCTCGGATCAAAATCTCACCTATTAACCGGAAATCGCCAAAATACTAACTTCGCCAATTCAAGCCTAATTCTATACCGTACCTCCGAAACCACTTCCGATCACACTCCTAAGTCACAAATCACCTTCCGAAGCTAATCGAACCATCGGAACTCACATCCGAGCCCTCTAACTCATAAGTCAACATCCGGTTGACTTTTCCAACTTAAGCCTTCTTAAAAGAGACTAAGTGTCTCATTTCTTACCAAAACCACGCCAAACGCAAACCATCTAACTCGGCCACATAAAACACGGATAACGAAGCATAAAGAAGCAGAAATGGGGAAAACGGAGTGGTAACTCATAAGACGACTGGTCGGGTCGTCACATATTGTTACGGTTATGTATGGATATAACAACGATCTCTTTAAGCTATTGTAACGGTTTTTTTGTATTGCTACGATTTTAACTACCTATTGGAACGGTTTAGAGGACATTTTGGAACGATTTACCGGATCTATTACAACGGTTTACATTCTAATGGAACGCCATTTGTGTCCTATTGCAACGGTTCTGGTAGGCTATTGTAACAGTTTAGTTAAAACAAAAATATAGCCCCTGTTATAAATAAATTTATATATATATAATAAATTATAATAACACTAAAATTTAAATAAATCATAAAATGAAACTATTAATAATATAACTCGTCCAACAAGCTAATAAGTTCCATAAAAGCAAATGTTCTACCCTAAGTGCATAAGTTTAATACATTTCAAGATGGTAAATTTCAAAATATTGACAACAAAAGATTCCTAAACATTCAATTATAGCAATTAAAAATTCATCTTAAGTAAGGTCTAGATCTTCACTGCCTTCATCTTCTATTTCTTGATCTACTCCACCTACAAAAGAGGATAAATAAAGTCATTACCCTTCGTCTTGAATACCTGGACTAAATAAATTGATCAAAAAGAAAAAGAAAAGAATGGACGTACAAGATGCTAGCCATGCGCCTAGCTCTTCTACAAAAACACATTATCCAGACCAAAATTTGGACATTAAATGTGCATGCAAGCTACTAAAAAAGAACAACATATCAAATTAATCCCGTTATAGGATTTAAAAGGAAAAGTAGTCAGTTTGCACAAATTTGGTTTTGTGACCACTAGCTAATTCCTGATTTCATATCACAACATAGGCTAGAGTTTAGAAAACTATATAGGCAGGAATAACAACTATAATAACTTTTTCTACAAATGAGTCAACCAAATAGTAACCAAAAGTGAATAATAAGTAGTGCAATCAACTTACCATACTAATTCAATACATTGACAATGTTAAAGTACCTGCAACATTTACTCTTCATACTGAACTTTTCTTTTGAAAAGGTAAGGTAATGTTATAAATCCAAAACTAAGAATGTGTTGTTGTAACTTTAAATAATTAACAGAGGCAGAAAAAGTTAAAGGATAAGCCCCAAAAAACTAATTCTGTAATAATCCTAACACCTGAAGAATAATTTCATCCTCATTTTACATGTTCCATCCATACCAAAAGCAAGAATAGGATGTTAATGGCATCCCCTCCACTGCCTTTGATAATTGGAAAAAGCACCAGATTTATCCTTTTCTATAGTAAACTCAATAAATACTGTACCAAAAACTAGAACATACAAAGTCCAATATTGCAAAGTCCAAGTATATTTTGACAAACTCATGATAACCACCAATACAATAATATACAAAAGCTATGCAGACATCTATAGAAGTGAAACACAGAACAAGAAAATACAATTAGAAGTCAATTGAAAGAAATTGAAACCTTAATATTTCCCTTTTACAACCAATCCTTCACATAAAGTAAAACAAGAAACAAGTAGATAATAGGTCCCAGAAAGAATGGATATAATTACCTTGTGGTGATCGAAGTTCCAATATTCAAGATCCTTAAAGTGAGACTCTCAAACATCTACCGGCCTATTCTCCATTCGAAGCTCATCATTCTCCTTTCTTCCATGTACACTTGGCATTTGAGTACGACCTCTTTTTCTTTTTGGCACGGAGGGGCCTGCAATAGTACAAAGCAAAGTTTACTATTGTTAGTTAATTTTATGATTAAAATTTATATATACTTGCCTTCTTCCTCATATTTTTAAATTGCTTCATGATTGATAGAATCCTCAGACTGTTCATGTACTGCCTGTGATGTATCCTAGGACAGAGAATAAACCCCATCGCCATTCTTGATTAATTAAATTATCTCAATATTTTTCATCGAAAAAATATATATAAATCAGGCATATGGTCCAAGATGTTAGAAACAACAACTTAAGCAAGAAGCAAAAAAGTGAGAATCACAACAAAATGAAGTTAACTAAAAAAATTTCAAGTATTCATATTGTTCCATTTATGCCGTCTTAATCCTATTTCAACAGAATTATTCATAAAAGATCAAAGTGCAATGAAGGATAAAGAAAATCCGTTAGAAATTTACAATTTAGTTGGTGCTATATGAATCATTTCATCTTTTGTTTTTCATTAACCCAAAAGGAGTTCTTATATAAAATTTGGCAATGATTTAGTCTATTTTAATCATTAAGGCCTTTGCCTTACCAACATCCAATCGTAAAGGTAAGCACTCTTATGGCAATTTATTTCACACAGATTCTCAAACAACAGTTTAATTAAAAATGGAGTACTCAACAGCTGTTTAAACTTACTTGATTTCCACAATAAGAATCTATAAGATTTTCTTTGATATTCAAATTATAAAGTACTTGAAGATCATGTTATAGCAATGTTGGACAAGAGAGAGCACGTTCAAATTAAACAAAATAATAGAGCAAAAAACAGAAAAAAGCAAGACATTGAAGTTTACTTTTTGTTGGAATTAAAGTGACTATACATCCTTTTTGGCACCATAGTTAGAAGATTAAATAGAGAATTGATTCAAAAATATTCCAAAGGTCCTAATCTTGAATCAGTTTAATCTCTCACAAATAATACATAATCAGAACATATACGAAACTAGTATTGAATACATATGTGGAAGCTGCATCCACGATTTTCCCTAAGAATAAAAGAAAGATCACAACGACAAAGTGATTTTAAATTGTGTTTTTTCAAAAAAGTGATCAAACTCGACTAAAAAAGAAGAAGAAAAGAAAAGGTGATTGATATGACCATGTATGATATATTTAGAATAAAAATTTAACTATATACTATCAAAAAGAAAAAAGAGTTACAACAAAGATTAATATTTCATTAGATGAAAAAGATTCTAACTGCAAAATCACTGCAGTAACAAAGAAGGTCATGGCTAACCATTTACTTAACTTAATCAGAACACTAAGAAAATAGTACGTTAACATTTTATCAATCAACAGTTCCTGCTTTTAATGGTTTATTAAGGGCGAATTAATCAATTTATACTGAAAGACCAAACAAGACACAAAGTTTAGACCTTTCAGATAAATAAAGCAAATTACCTCTCTTCCTAAACTTTATTCTATAATCGTAAAATCCCTATATGTAACAAAAAACTGTAGCTATTTAGACATAAGTATCCTATACCAGCCAAAAAAAAGCTACTTCATAACTAGACCAAAAAATGCAAGTAACCTAAAAGAAAGCTAGCAAAAAGGAATTCAAAACTTAGTTTTAAGATACAATCACAGCATGCAATAAAAAAAACTAAAGATATATATAAATACACCTCAACACGGCCAAGTCTCATAAAGTCGGGTTCTGTAGAGTTCTGATGGACCTCCTCAAATTCAATTCCATTCGATCTTGCAATATTAAACTTTAAAATGTGATCTTAATAGTAATCAAGAAATTATGCCACTAATCCAGCAATTCTACAAACATAATTTAAACTACTGGTGCAAACCCTACTGATTGCCAAAACATGTGAACTCCAGAAAAGCATGTCAATTCAAACAATATTAGAAAGTAAATCAAGAGATGAACATCCAATAAAAAATTTGTGTATGCATTCAATCCGACTGTATCGCTCAAATACCCCAAATATAAAAACATAAAAAAATCAAAGAGTCGGGTAACAAGGAACATTAAAACTGAAATCTTCATTCAAACACACAACCAACGATGTGGTTATCCCAAATTTATTAAAAATAAAAAATAAAAACTTACAGCGATGGTTTCTCTCACAGCTACTAGCGACAATTTTCAGCGAGGAATGGGATCGAAGAGATGGAATAAACCTTGGTTGAGTGTGTTTTTCTTGTTATTTCTTGGAGTCAAACTCTCGTCTTCCTCTTCCTTCTTTCAAGTCCAATTTCTAATCAAAACCCTAATCGAACAATCACAGAAATCGTAATCACTTATCTTTTGCAAATCTCAATCAATTAACACTACAGCAACCAGCGAAAACAAGAATATGAACGCCAAATTAGTTCTCACCTTTGATTTATCAAATTTGGTTATGGGTTGAGGAATAAGGTTAGGCCCTTACCCCCACCAGACTTGACTATTTAATATCAATAATTAGCATGAAGCATTTAATTCTTCAAATAAATGCACAGAACATGGTGATGTCCGTTTGAATCAAGGGAAACCTAGTGGACTTTTGGACAAGGCTATCTTAATGGATCATTATGTGGGAAACATAACTGACACGACTAGGTTTGAATATCCTTACATATTGAAGCCGTAATGGTGGAAGAATATCTTTAAAGTAATGGTTGAAGGTTAGTTGATAGAAAAAACCACATCAAATTTTAAAAAGTTTGAAAAGTTTAAGGTATTTGAATTCTTAAAAGCTGTATAAAGTAGAAGTGTGTTAAAATATTTTGGGAAATCCCATAATGGAATGGGTTTTATAAATTGGGACAGAGGGAATATCTGTTAGTCATTCTGGCAAGCATTTATTTTAATACAGGTGGGAACTAATTGGAAAAAGTTGTACTTAGAACTGAATGCATAGTGATCTGGCTCTTTCTTGCCACAAACATCTGATCCTTAAATCTTCCATTTATAATTTCCCTCTTTTTCTTAATCTCTGTCCGTCCATCATATTAATAGGCAAATATTGGCAAAATGTTGTTGGTGAACGCCGAAGAAAACCTCACTCAGTTATGCTTGCTGACAAGAATGCACCAAATGAGGAAGCATGGAGACAGGTAAATTATTGTATTTGCTAAACTGTTCCCGGGTAGTACAAATCCTCTGACACGATTTTTAATCTAAGGCACATCTTGAGGTTATTTTCAGTTACAAATTAACATAAAATGCAGTGGACTGGTAGTGCTTCAAGTCATGATATCACACGAGATTACAAAGTCTAGTTGTATCAGATTTCTTCTTTTCGGGTTTATATTTGCCGTGAGAATGGTTCTAATCAATTTTGTTATTTTTCCAAACATTTTGGTTAAACGTTAATTAATAGTTACTAGATAAGTATTAATTAAGTAAAGAAAAAAATGTAAAAAATGAGGGGTTTTGGCGGGTTTCACTGAAATTGACAGGGGGAAATTAGGGAGGAATTAATAACCGTTCCCATTAATTTTTTTCCATGATTCGTTGCAATAGATATTTCTATTGGAACGGTTAATATAAACGTTGCAAAACCAAACGCCTATAGGAACGGTTCTCACCCATATGCGATGGTTTTAAAGTTAAAGTGTGCCGGTAGTACCCAGATCTTATTGCAACGGTTGTAACCGTTGCAGTAACCTATCTATAGTAACGGTTTCTGAACCGTTGCAATAATATATGTTGTCATAGGCCCATTTTCTAGTAGTGTACCTGGGAGTCTGAGTCCGATATGCAGAGCAGATATCCCCACCTTTTCACCAGCTCAGGTACTTTTCTATGTCCGTTCGAGGACGATTTTAGAGGTGGAGAATGTGATGACCCGATAGGTCATCTTATGATTTAAAATCAAATTCTATTTTTCGAGGCTTTAAACACCTCATTTTAACCCTCCTCAATTTGCATGGCGCAGTCCGGGCATATTTTTGGAAAGCTTTTATGTTAAAAGTTGATAAAGTAAGAATTTTTGCCTGGAAGGTTAATTTTAGTTGACTTCGGTCAACGTTTTGAGTAAACAGACACATAATCATATTTTGACGGTCCCGGTGGATCCATATTGAAATATGGAACCTGGGCATATGCACGAAATCGAATTCGGAGGTCCCTAGCTCGAGTTATGAATTTTTGTTGAAAATTAAAAGTCTAAAAAATCAATGGTTTTAAGAATTGATTGATGCTTGGTCTTGCTGATATCGGGTCCGTATCTTGGTTTCAAAGCTCAGTACAGATCCAATATAATATTTATGACTTGTCTGTGAAATTTGGTGAGAAACGGAATTGGTTTGACGTGATTTGGACGTCTGGTTGAGAAATTAGAAGTTTCAAAGCTTTCTTGAAAAATTCATTTGATTTGGTGTTAAATTCGTAGTTCTAGGTGTTATTTTAGAAATTTGATCGCGCGAGCAAGTATGTATGTTGTTTTAAGACTTGTGTGCATGTTTGGTTTGGAGCCCGAGGGCTCGGGTGAGTTTCGGATAGGCTACAGAGTGAATTGAACTTAGAAATCATAGCTGGTGTGCTTCAGGTCTATAGACTTTGCATTTGCGAGGCCTAGCTCGCAAATGCGAGCCTCGCATTTGCGAAGACGCATCGCATTTGCGATCAGTGGGGCTTGAAGGGGACCTTCGCATCTGCAAAGTTAAGGATTGCAATTGCAATCATCACAGGCCGCATATGCGAACAATTGTTCGCATTTGCGATAACAGCAAGGCTGGGGAAGTTTCGCATTTGCAAAGGATTTCTCGCAATTGCGAACCTCTAGTCGCATTTGCGACATCTGCAACTGTGTAAAACTTAACTTAGACTAGATTTTTGCTTATTTTTCAAAACTTTCAAAACAAGAAACCCTCTAGACGATTTTTCAAAGACCATTTCTTCTCCAAATCATTAGTAAGTGATTCTAGACTAGTTTCTTTCAATCTTTCACTTCATTTTATAAGATTTCAACTTAAAATCTAAGGTTTTCATGGTGTAATTGGGGATTTTTGGGTATAAACTAGGGATTTCAAAATTTGGAGATTAAGACCTCAAATTGAGGTCAGATTCCAAAACAATTATATATCCGGGCTCGGGGATGAATAGATAATCGGGTTTTGGTCCGAATTTTGGGTTTGGAACAAGCGGGACCGAGTGTTGATTTTTTTTAAAAATGGCCTAAACTGAATTCTTTGCAATTGTGGGTAGTTCCTAAGGCTTAAATTGAATCGTTTGGTTGGTAATTTGCTAGATTCTATTGGTCCGGAGGCTTGTTTGAAGGGAAAAGCTGTGGTTGAGCTTTGAGTTTGGCCGTTGGAGTGACGTAAGTGTCGTGGTTAGCCTTGGCTTGAGGGATTAGGTCTTATTTTCCTATTTGCTACGTGTTTGAATATTGAGTACTCCCTCCATTCCAGTTTATGTGAACCTATTTCCTTTTTGGTCCGTTCCAAAAAGAATGACTCCTTTCTAAATTTGGAAACAATTTAGCTTAAACTTACAATTCTATCCTTAATGAGAAGTTTTTATAACCACACAAATACTCTGGGGCCCTTTTTGACTTGTTTAGGACCACAAATTCTAAAAGACTTCATTCTTCTCTTAAACTCCGTGCCCAGTCAAACAGGTTCACATAAATTGAAACAGAGGGAGTACAATGTATAGGTGAGGTGATGAGTACCTATGCGTTGTTGTCGAGTTACAACATGCGAATGGGTTTTATTCATGAAATTGTAACTTTCTGTGATCATATTACTCATGCTTAGACTAGTTTATTGTTATGTTGATCGTTCTTATCATATTTACAAATTTTGGTATTGATTGAGTATTGATTCAAAGTTGAGATTGGTATTGTGGAACCAAATGTTGAAGTAAGGCTTGTTCTTGATAAATTCTATCACCCTGATGTTATTGTTCCTTGTTTTGGTAAGGGAAAGTGTTAATGCACGAAGTGTGATGCCGTGCCATATTGTGAGTGCTAATGCACGAAGGGTGATGTCGTGCCATGTTATGAGAGAGTTAATGCACGAAGGGTGATGCCGTGCCGTTTCTATTTGATTCATAAGGTGAGGTTGATAGTAAAAGCACGACGGGTGATGTCATGTACTTTCTTTTGTTGTGGTTATTGGTCCTTACCTATTCTAATCATATCGGTTGATCAAAGTTCTAAATTCTGTTGTGATCCTTTATCTTGTAATACCCTCAGCATGTCCCCCTCCCAATATTACTCGTCTTGTTTTTTATTTTTTGTTATTGGTGTATATATTGTTATACTGTACAGGTTGGTTTTGTGGGTGTCTTGTCTTAGCCTCGTCACTACTTTGCCGAGGTTAGGCTCGACACTTACCAGTACATGGGGTCGGTTGTACTGATACTGCACTCTGTACTTTCTATGCAGATTTTGGTACCGATTCGGGATGATCTTGAGTTTAGCTGTTGGCCTCATCTGATCGGAGACCCAAGGTAGTCATATTGGCGTCCGCAAGCCCTAGCATCCCCTTCTATACACACTCTTTATTGTTTCATTTGTATCGAAAACAATTCTATTTCCTTTAGACAATTTACTTGTAGTTAAATCTTAGAAGTTCGTGAATTGTGACTCCAGATTCTGGGTAGTTTTATATACTAAGATTGTTATGGATTTTCGCACTTTTTCAACTTTTTATGGTTTAATTGTTGTTAATCACTGAAAGGTTTAAGAATTGGCTTAATAATCTCTAACATTGACTTGCCTAGCAAGTGAAATGTTAGGCGTCATCACGGTCCCGACGGTGGGAATTCCGGGTCGTGACATTTACGTTGCATTAAATAAAATAAAAGGCACTTCATAGGCTTGAATTTTTTTATCTCTTAAAGCTTGTGTGTATTTAAATATAATATTNCCCCCCTCAGAACCGGTAGTGGTACTGGTACAGTACCCCTAAAAACTTCCTTACTCCGTACCCTTAATTCTCCTTAACCATAGTCCCCTAAGGAAACCTTCCCCTCTTATCGGTACCGTCCCCCTGCCCCGTCCCATTTCGTAACCAGAAGGTCCAGAACCCTCCCCTAGACTGCCCCAGTCAAACCTAAAATAATATCGCATGTATTGCCTTTTTAGCATTAATTATATTAAGTTGGTCCAAAGTTAAGTACTTGATCAATTCTTTAACAGGATAATTTTTTTATATTAAACATAAATAACACAATATTAATGGAAAATAATTGTGAGTTGATTCAACTTGCAAATACTCGGCGAGTCAGACATATTGAGTTTTTCTTTGATTCAAAGACTTGTAAGTTAAATTAACTCAAGCTGGAGGATTCTAATTTTAAAAGAATGGCGTAAACAAACTTAACTGTGAAGGTCTCAAAATACGTTCATGGAAAAAGTATATACATAATTTAATAAATCAAAGATAAAGAACATGAAGGGGCACCTGGGGCCTCTTCTTTTAGACAATGAGTAAGCATTCTTTATGAAAAACGCTGAAAGAAAACCAGAAAAGAAGCTAAGCATAAAATCAAAGGTAGTGAAAGAAACCTTGGAAATGGGGAAAGGACTTGGGGATTGAGAGATGATGCATTAGATCTCCCATATTTTATTCTACTTTATAGAGATGAGATGATCACTGAATAATGGCTTTTCAATTTATCACTTTTTCAAACTCAATATTGCTTTGTGTTTTGCTTGCAGCAAACTAAAGAACATTCCTAACGTTAAAAGTAAGTCTTAATCTCGACA